TTCATAGCAAAATAGATGCAAGGAAACGCTTTGCCCCTTCATAATTTTATAGGAAATTTATTGTTATTAGAAGACCCATTTGCTTAGTGTGATTTTTCCATTACCGGCTTGTCACGCGGGGTAGATAATGTGGTCGGGACGGGGGGGGGGCGGGTATGAACCCCGTAGATTGGGGTGTCAGTTTTGTTGATGGGGCATGTAGTTTACCTTGGAGCTGTGTCTAATGGGGGAAGTTGGTTGGAGAATGCACAAAGCCTCGGCAGCAGGAACAGCGGTGCCTGTAATAACCCCAGAGACGGCCGAGGCCGAAGTACACGCTGAGTATACACAGTTTGTGTATTAGAATTGACTTCTTTAAGTGTGTTTGTCTCCAGCTCCAAGCTGCTGTGCAGCTACTTTCACATCTGTACCATTCTATTTAGATTAAAGTACTTTGGTCCCCTTTCGGTCCCTAATAAAGGCGGCGTGAATCGTGTTCTTTGGTTGTAATCACAGTGATTATCCAGATGAAACTTGAATTTGGCTTTGTGGTCGGCGCCATCTTGGCTTTTTGCAACCAGGAAACGTGAGTGACCATATTTCCCAAAGGAGGAGTGACATGGAGATTAGTCTCTAGCGACCTGTCAATCAAGAAGACTTGAAACTAGATGTTTGAACGGGAACAAATCTAATAGGAACAGAGGAGTCGCCCCCTGGTGGTCACTACAGAGAACGCCGCTTTAAGACCGATTAGGCTTCACTCTGCCTCCTGGTTTGGGTTCAGAGTCCCAAAGTACCAATAGATCTTTCGCAGTATTTGGACGTTTCATGGCAGGAAAAGCACTTGACGATAATATTTAATTCACGGCAGTGCGACATATTTTTTAAAACAAAGACCATTTCTTTCTCTCAGAAACACGAGTTATCCGACGAGAAAAAAATAGAACAGATAAAAGACTCGACAATCATATGCAGCTTTAAAATGTGGTGATGTTTGTTCTCATCTGACACAATCTGTACGTCCTCACATTAATATCACTAATGTATGCAGAGACATGCCACCATACGCACATGAGAATCCGCTGTCAGAAGGTAACCAGTTTTCGCGAGTTGTACATAACGCATTAAAACTAAAAGTGTTCATTCAACGTGTCGATCATTTTGGAAGACGTATTCAGAGATGTGTTTGTTATTTAGCCGTTGGACATTACAAGCACACCTCACTGAGATGCATCATCGTTTAACAAAATGCATCTGCACCTCTCTCAACCTCTGGTGTGATAACGAGCCCTGCTGGATGTGTCGTCGCTGAGATGTAACTTTCAGTGGGTCACCGGATGAATGACCCCCTCTCACGTCACAGTGAAACCACAAGATGCAGTTATTTAACCCCCCCAGGGACCCACGGCCAGCATTAGTGTGCCAACGTCACTCAGCTTTAAGCTGCACGTCCCTCAAAGAATCTACAGCCGCACACACACACACACACACACACACACACACACACTCTCAATGCAGGCTCACGGCGAAGCTGATTGGTAGATGCACCGGGGCCCCACAGGGCCACTGGGGGCCGGGAGGCTTTAATTGAGAAGACCAGATTCTGCTGCCTCCTCTTCTTCTTCACCCTGGCCTGCCCATGATCACGGTGTTTGCATATTAATACGCCGCCGCGTAACTCAGTCGATCTCCAACACAGTCAAGCGCCTGCGTGTGTGTGTGTGCGCGCGTGTGTGTGCGTGTGTGTGTCTGTGTGTGTGTGTGTGTGTGTAAATACTTTGCAAAAAAAACAGACTGAGAACCTCTCGTTGCTGGATATTTTTTTTAATCGGGTAGAATAATTGAGTTAAGACTTTAAGCGCTTCCTTCTCATTATCAACTAACCGCCTGCAGGCTGAACTGTGGATGTCGTAATCAAAGTGGTAAATTGGTATTGTGTGTTTTTTAAGAGCAGTGGCGGAGTTTCTCTCTTATCTGTTAACCAGCTTATTTCTCCACAGTCGTTATTTTAGAGACAAAGTAGTTGTGCAGAAACTTCTTCACATTAAGTCCCGTGTTGATGCTGCAGCCAAACAAATACTGAACCGCTGCCCCCCCCCCATCCCCCCTTCTGTTCTTCTTCGTTGGTCCCGGTAGCTGGTGGCGGGCAGCGTGGTGGTGGCCTTCGAGGAGGTGTGTCCCGATCGAATCGACCTGATCCACAAGAACTACCGGAAGCTGTGCAACCTGCTGGTGGACGTGGAGGAGTGGGGCCAGGTGGTCATCATCTCCATGCTGACGCGCTACGCCAGGACGCAGTTCACCAGCCCCTGGAAGGAGGTGAGGGTGGTTCTATTCCTCCGCCGACTCAGATACACACTCGTGGATTAATCCGCCACTGAAAATAGTCCCCAGTAAATGCACCTTTCCTCCTGTTTTCTTGGATGAGACAACATTGATTATTTTATTATTATTTATATTATTTAGCTTGAAAAACATTTTTATAAATAATTTATTGGTCTAAATATGATCTTTATTTTCATCCTGTTTGAGGGAACTACTGAGCCTTTTTCCTTAATTTTCCCCTCTTGACCCGCGCTCTCAGGGCGCCTCGTTCGAGGAGAACAACGAGAAGGCGTTCTACGCCTCCGACTCGGAGGAGAAGAGCGAGCGGACGGAGGCGGAGGCCTACGTCATGGATCCCGACCACCGGCTGCTGCTCCGGAACACAAAGCCTCTGCTGCAGAGCAGGAACACGGCCGTGAGTCTGAGCCGCACTGCAACCAGTTTAGTCCCGTACGGACGTGTAAACACATTATACGCACACGCACACACACACACACACACACACACACACCTGCTGTACGACACCGCGGTAACAAACCCATCGAGTGCAGATGTCCATCACCCGGGAGCCTCAAGGTCTCTGTCGCTGTGCGGCAGCGGGAGGAAAAATGCTCCCGAATGAAAGCGTTGATTAAAATGTGACGCTCGACAACCGGATGACGTCCTCCATCTTCATCGAGAAGCCTTTCATTCGCCGTTCACTCCCTCCCGCTGCGACGGGGGCCGGCTGCTGAGAGATCACCTCCACAGGGCCGGCGCCTTGGTAGAGAAACGCACGCGGGGGCGTAACGTTTCAGCGGGGAGGACAGGTGGCGGTGTAATAATAATAATGGTAACAATAAATGGAGCACTTTAAAGCGTTTTAAAGAACATCAAGTCAAGGAAAAAGTTTACTGAAGGCAAAAGCACGACGTGTGAGCGGCGCTGAATGTGACTACGTACATTTAGCTGTAGCTTCCTCCCGCAGGTTTTTTTTCATTGAATGTTTGTGATGAGTTTGAAGTATTTCCTCCTTGGCAGTAATAGTATCTGCATCTACTGTGTCTCAGGTGGTGATGTCCGTCGCTCAGCTCTACTGGCATTTGGCCCCGAGGCACGAAGTCAACCTGGTCACCAAGTCGCTGGTCCGACTGCTCCGGAGCCACAGGTGATGCGCAGAAAGAATGAGTGTGCGTTTTGTACAAGCGGCTGCGACGACTCGCCGCCTCTTCACCGTCGTGCCGTTTCCTCTTCTCTCCCGCGCACAGGGAGGTGCAGTACATCGTGCTCCAGAACATCGCCACCATGTCCATTCAGAGGAAGGTGAGTGTGTGCGTGTGGGCGGCGGCGGCGGCGCGGCGCCGGTGCCCAGAAGGTTCCTTCTAATCACGTCATCTCCACACAGGGGATGTTTGAGCCCTACATGAAGAGCTTCTACGTGAGGTCTACGGACGCCACACACATCAAGACACTGAAGGTAGAGACGTAAAGACGCAGCGCATCACCGCGTCATGTTGTGTTTAACGTTAGACCCCCCCCCCCCCCCTGTGATTGTTGTAACTGGAGATCCTGACCAACCTGGGCAATGAAGCCCACATCTCCACTATCCTGAGAGGAGTTTTCAGGTTGTGCTGGTTATCTTTAGTGACATCAGAAGTCAACCCGTGAGCATTACTCCTCTCCTCACTCTCCTTCCCTCGTCTTTTTTTCTTCAGACCTACGTGAAGAGCCAGGACAAGGCGTTCGCCGCGGCCACCATTCAGGCCATCGGCCGCTGCGCCACCAACATCTCCGAGGTGACGGACACTTGTCTCAACGGCCTGGTGCTGCTGCTGTCCAACAGAGACGGTAACAAGCCTTCCTCTGGGCGTCACGGGGGGGGGGGTCAGCGGGCCTCGTCCTCATACCTACGTCAAACCCCCGCCGCGCTGTCTTCACAGAGACGGTGGTGGCCGAGAGCGTGGTGGTGATCAAGAAGCTGCTGCAGACTCAGCCCACCCAGCACAGCGAGATCATCAAGCACATGGCCAAGCTGTTTGACAACATCACCGTGCGTCCTCACCGTCCCGTTGTCGTTCCCTCGGCCGGACGGGGACCAGGCGCTCACCTCTTTTTTTGTTTTGTCCTCGGACCCTGCAGGTGTCCATGGCCCGGGCCAGCATCCTGTGGCTGATGGGCGAGTACTGCGACAGGGTGCCAAAAATTGCACCCGACGTACTGCGCAAGATGGCAAAGTCCTTCACGGCAGAGGAGGACATCGTCAAGCTGCAGACGGTCAACCTGGCGGCCAAACTCTACCTGACCAACTCCAAGCAGGTGGAGACGTGCTCCTTCAACCCGAGCCGCGAGCCTACGTGGGGGAGAGGATTCAGAATCCTATTATGAGGATAAAAATGTGATTCTCCTCCCACGAGAGACGCCGCCGTCTCGCCGTAAATTGAACTCTACCCCGCTAAATGAATGTGGAGCCGTGAATGAGACGTCGTGAATGTAATGGCGACTATCGGACCGATGGGGGGGGGGGGGGGGGGGGATTCTGGCCCCCGAGCCGGGTTTATGAGCCCAGACGCTGCCTCCTTAAACGAGCGCATCATCACACCTCCTGGTACTTATCCATAATGCTGTATAGCAATAATCCAGACAGATCAGTTCAGTGTTAGAATGCATTATGGACGAGACCATTTCTCTCCCCGCAGACTAAGCTGCTGACCCAGTACATCCTGAACCTCGGCAAATACGACCAGAGCTACGACATCAGAGACCGAACCCGCTTCATCCGGCAGCTCATCGTGCCCAACGAGAAGAGCGGCGCCCTCAACAAGTACGCTCGGCGCATCCTGCTGGCCCCCAAGCCGGCCCCGGTGCTCGAGTCCGCCTTCAAAGGTTCCTCTTCCTTTTAAATCCTTTTAAGTGGCGTAAATACCTCTCGTCTTTTGTTTGGCGACCGTTGGATCCGCATGAACTGGACCTCTATTTCCAGTCGTATGCAAAGTGCATCCCGGCAGTGGTTTTGTTATTCAGCCGCGTCGGTCTCTCCCCTTTACCTTGAGCTAATGAGATGGGTAAATTATTGAGCCAACGCTAACCTTTTTTCAGACACTCGGAGGGAGAAAAAGAGCCTCCCTCGTTTATCCGTCTCTCCCCTTGACAAAGGGGACACAAACGGCCTCCTTCCCCATTAGGATTCAGCGGCGGTTTGCGCCTCCTGGATGTTTATGGAAAGCGTTAACCAGCCCTGTCATTCTTAATATCCACTCAAGTCTATTTTTTCCCCCCTCTTTTTGGTTTGCAAAGCACAGCTTTCCCAGCCCACCTCCCGGGCACAGGCTCCGATTATCAGCGGTGGAGGGAGGGGCGGGGGGGACACATTGTGTGTTTGTGTGCACGCTGAGATTCTGTTAAACACCTGTGAGCGGTGACTTTGAGCGTCTTGGAGGGCGGACTGCAGTGACTTTGTCCGCTCTCGTTGTTTTCTGTCCGTGCTTTCAGATCGGGACCGTTACCAGCTGGGAACTCTCTCCCACAGCCTCAACAGCAAAGCCAGCGGGTACCAGGAGCTCTCCGACTGGCCGGCCGTCGCGCCCGACCAGTCTGTGAGGAACGTGGAGGTCGTTGAGCCCGTAAGAGCGCGTTCATCACAGCGGTTCTCCCTCAGCGGCCCGGCGGTTCTCTTAACGAGGCTTCACCAAACATCCGTTTATATCGTAGTGCTTCTTGAGCAACTTTGCCAAAACCGCCCAGATGTTTCACTTCTTTAGTAAAGACACTGAGAATGGACTAATGCATTGTGGGATGCGTTGACGTAAGAAAAACTATAAAATAACCAACGCCATCTTTTTCCAACCTTTCATGTGCTTCATCAGTTTGTGTTGAATACATTTTAATTCCTTCCTCTGTTCCATTCGGCCCAAACACAGAAAGCTTTTGTTCCTCGTTTAACGTTAAGAACAAAAAATGAAAGAACATTTAGATGAGAGGTTAATTCAACAGACACAAACCTGTTTACTTGAAGTGGACAAAACAAAAGACCCGCAGAAACTGACTTAATTGAGTTATTCCGTCATCATTCCTCGGTGAAGCCGAGCAGAGGTTTGCGTGTTTGCTGTAACGTCCACACGCGTTACTCTGTAATTTGTGTGAATAGTTGCAAATTGAACCAAATTAGTTTTTTCTTCTTCACACGAGCCCCTTAAAGCGACAACAGTTTGAGAACGCTGCAGGATAACTCGCTTCCTACATTAACCCCTCACCTGCCTCCGCCGTCTCTGATCAGGTGCAAGAGTGGGCGCCGTCGGTCGGGAAGACCAAGAAACCCAAATCCGATGACAAGTTCTACTCGGACAACGAAGAGGAGAAAGCTGAGGAAGAATCTGAGAGCAGTGAAGGAAGCAGCAGCAGCAGCAGCAGTGGAGGTTCGTCTGACAAATGTCACTGTCTTAGCTGTAATCCACAGCAGAGGTCTTCAACAGGGGGTCCGCGACCCACAGGGGGCCCGCCGAGGTACTTCAGGGGGGGTCGCGAAATTATATATATATATATATTTTTTTTTTTCAACCAATTTTTTTTCCACAAATTTAAATGTCTTCAGAATCAGAATTGTATTTGTCTTTAAATACACATTAACATGGATCCAACATATTGTAGCGAACGGATAAATTGAAGGAGAAGACGTCATCTTTCAGTCCACAACACACACACTCATCTTCCCACAGCAGCTCTCTCAAGCTGGACGCCGGTTCACTCACTGCTCTTTTCATGCTGATACGACATCACAGGCAACCAGCCAATCAGATCCATTCATGCTCACGTCTAAAGAGCACCAAGCTCAAAAATAAAAGATGGCGTACCAAACTCCGTAGTATAGGTGGTCCCTGCTCCATCTCACCATCAGTTTGGGGGACTTTGGCCTGGAAAACGTTGAAGACCCCTGAGCCAGGGGGTGGATTTGGTGGATTTGGCGACCCCTGTGGCCACAGGTGGTAACGGCAGGTGCAGCTTAACACTCTGCAGCAAACCCTCCTTTAGCAGCTGCTCTGCTCGGGAGTCTTTCTGCAGCCAAACAAACCTTTGACTCAGATGTCAGAAGATGGTGGCTGATTTTTGGTGTGTTGGGTGTCGTGATGGATTGTGCGTATGAGAATGGCGTACTGAGACCAATAAAATAAACTACCAGAAGCAATGACGGGATGTAAATACAGTTAATGGCTTTGCTGTAGAAATACAGGGTCAAAAATCGGGGTGGGATTTGATGAATTCACCGTTCGACGTCTCCACAGAGTCGAGCAGCGAGAGCGAGGAGCAAAGCAGCGAGGAGTCGGACAAGACGTCCAGCGACTCGGGGAAGAGCTCCAGTGGATCTGAGGAGACCTCCAGTGGATCAGACTCCCAACAGAAGAAGAAGAAGAAGACCAAGAAGGCGCCGCAGAAGAAAAGCAAGACGGCCGCTGCTTCCAGGTACAGTTAAACTCCCCCAGACGTGTCCAGATGCTACCTGTTCCTCCGTCTTCTTACCTCCTTAACTAATTAGACGTGTGTGAGATCACAACAAATGTGATCGGTGCTCTGCTGCAGCAATAACGACCATCTGTTCTCAGACGTTTTTATCAACAACCTTCTGGCACGTTACTTCTTCTATATACTGATATTAAAAACTTTACCAACCCACTTAAAAAGAATCCAACGATGTCCTTCAACTTCAGTATTTCAAGGGAATGGACCTAGTTACTTGAGATAATACCAAAAGTACATCTTAATAAAGGCAAAAAATACTCAAAATAATGGAAAATAAGACAGAAAAACTATTTTGCAACTAGAAATAACTATCGAATAAAAGCTTTTCTTGAACGGGGGCTTGTGAGCCATACACACCCCTTGTTCTATTTATGTAAGTGTGTGTGTATAAACCCACACAAACACACACGCAGAGAGGCGTCAGGCTGGCAGAGCTGCCAGAATATCGTTAGTGTGAGTTCCATTAACGAGCTCATCAAGGAGAATTCTCCTCCGGTAGCGTAACCCCCATTTACATGGCTAATGGATAATGACTTCTGATTGGTCATTTAGCCGCCTGGTGTTGCCAATGAATGAGATCTGAGTCATTACTGCCGAATATGCTCGCGACACGCCGGCGGATTTTAGCTCCTCGCGCGCCGGCCTCGCGGACGCACACAAACTCACCTGATGGGGCCGCGTGACAGGCCGCCGGCTGACCCCCGTCCTCTCCATTAGAGGGGGGTAATTAGAGCGACTCACCCCGGCCCTGCGACGCCCAACACACACACACACGCGCGCTCACGCACGCGCGGGGTAATTAGAGCAGCTCACCCCGGTGCTTCCACAACAAACACAGCATAATGCCCTCATTACGGCCCAGTCGCCGCGGGCGGAGCCTAATCAGGCCCACAGTGATTTATATCACTTTTTCCTGTTCGCAGCAAATGAAATCTGTAGGCCAAATTAATACTGGCTTTTCATCATCGCCCAAGTTAAGAAGCCAGTTACCGTCACAATTCCCCTCATTAATTTAACTGGTGAAAATCCCAGGCAGGCGGAGTAAACACTCATTATCGGGACAAATTGAAGAGGGACGGAGGCGAGTGGAAGAGAGGGGAGCAAGACGAGGAAAATCTTTCTGAATGAATGCAAACATTGAATTAACTTCAGAGAGCAAAACAAAAACAGATTGATCGCTGTTGTTGTGACCGGGGGGGGGGGGAGGAGTGTGGGTGGGGGAGGGTCTTGTGGGGCTTCAGCTCTCAGTCCGGGTGGAGAAAAGGAGAACTAATGAATACGGTTGAAACAGATTCAAGGTTGTACGTCTGATGTCTTCCAGAGATCAGTGGAAGCTGTAGATGTGTTGAAGCAAAGTAAAAGTGGTATTTTCCAAATATAAATATTATATATATATATAAAACATACATATATAATATGTATATATTATATATATATATATATATGATTTAGATTTATATATATATGTGTATAAATGTATATGTATTCAGTGTTCTGATGTGTTCTCAGTGACTCGGATGAAAACGGAAACGGACCCGTAGTTAAAGACAGCAGCTCGTCAGATGAAAGCTCCTCCGGCTCCGAGGACGACTCCGACTCGGACGCCGCCGCCGCCCCCACGACGCAGCAGCAGAAGAAGAGCGACAGGAAGCCCGGCCCTAAGGTGAGCTGAGATGTAGTCGGGTCCGTTTGGATCTCAGATCTAGTACCGAGGGGGGGGGCTCCAGCCTGATGATCAGTTAGGTTGTTCTTAACACACAGACACACACACAGGAGACAATCACATTTATTCAGCGGGATTTGATCCCCTCCTGATTTATTTTCTGCACTATGAAATTCTCATTTTGTACAGTTTGTCGTGTCGTTTTATGAATTATGCATCTTTCTGTTACCGGCAGCGATCGGAGATTTTTTGTTTGTTTTCACCTGCTGGTGGCGCGTGGTGAAAGGAGGGGGGGGGGAGGGGGATAAGAATCGTCTAGATGCTTGTTCTCCCGGCGGCCCGCGTTGTAATTCCCAGAACGCAGCGGCTGACAAGCGGCGCGACGGTCGTGTGAATGACCGGCCGCTCGAAATTCCAGACGCGTGACGCGAGGGCGTCGCGTCTCCAGACACACGACGGCAGCACGATTGAAACGCTTGTTACGTTTGTTTCAAAGTGCTTTTCTCTTGTTTCTGTTTGATTTCCAGGTGAAGTCCGAGGTGGAGGTCTCCTTACTGGATCTAGTTGACTGTGAGTTTATCGCCACTTTTAATGCTATAAATCACATCAACTTTTGTTTTTTGTTGGGTTCCTTTTTTACTTTGAATGATCCCCAAAACAGCCTCGATCAAGTAAACGTGTTCTACCTGCCAAACGTTTGTGTGGAGCTGAAGATGAGGACGAGAGTGAATATTGGGCTGTAAATGTTTGGTGGTGGTCAAATCCAAATGAATTTAATGTGAAATCTTAAATCCCTGATTGCAACGTGGACGCTTGAGTCGACGTGAGCCCCCGAAAACAAACAAACAACAGCGTTAAAGACACCACAAGCAGGCTGACATCGTTCTCGTCTCTGGCTCCTCCCCCACGGCGCCACGCGGGCCTCAACGAGCTTCTCTTTGCGTCCCTTTCAGTTTCTCCTGCACCCACAAACGCACCAAAGGGCCCGGTCGTCTCCCCGTCCCTTCTGTCCGACCTGGAGGGCCTGTCCCTGTCCAACACCTCCTCCACCATGCAGGTAGGTGCGCGTGTGTGTGTGTGTGTGTGTGTGGTTCCTTTCCCCCTACGTGGGCCTACGAGATGCTGAAATGAGCCTCCCTCCCTCGTGGAACCCTTTCGTCTCCCAGCAGGCGACCTTTGACCTTTCCTGCCGCCTTCTATTTATCGGCGGGCAGGACGGCGCTGCTGCTCTTCCCGTTTCCTGTATCTCTTATGGTCCCCCCCTCTCCCACACCGCCGCTAGACGAATGGATTCATTTGGAGGGGAGTGGCAAACACGCCCTACTGGGCACGGGACGAAGAAACAGAATAGTAAGGAGTGTTCTTTT